GCAAGCATGGTGGGGGAGCCACCGTCCTGAGGGCTGGGGAGCGCATGGGCGAGGGGGCTCTGTGTGCTGGTCGTGCGGGGAGGAGACAGCCCCAGCCCCAGGTCTTCTGGGGGATCTGAGAGACATTTCAGAGGACGCTGCCTTGGAGGAAGGTCTAGACCTTTCCCCTCAAGCAGCTGTGCTCCCAAACCAGGCACACAGGCTGTAGGGGCAGGGGGGTGGCATCTGGGGCTGCTCCTTAGAGTCCCAGGGCTTAGGTGGGGCTCGGTTTAATGACCCATTAATGCGCCATACAGATCTAAGAGGTAGGTCATGTGGGTCCAGGCGATGTTCACCTGTGGGTCTGCTGCTGGTCTGCCCGGAGCCTCATCAGGCCAGTACACACCCCCCCACCCCTACCTGTGTGAGCCTTGGCTGCTGTGGCTCACAGCTACCCCTCTCTCTGGGGAATAGACCTCTGCAGATGTCAGACGCCTTGCAGGGGGAGTTACATTGCCTCCCCAGGGCATCAGGATACAGAGGGAGCAAAGACCCAACTTCCAGGTCTCTATAAGGAACCACCACGATGCAATTTGCACTTGAGAGCCCCCATGCAGCCAAGGTGGGACATCTCTCTTCCTCCCCATTCTTCCCACCCTCCCTTGTCTTTGTCTGAGGAGACTTCCCTCGATGCATCACGACAGCTGAAGCCTTGTCTTAGCCTCTGCTCCTTAGCCAGTGGCTCTCAAAGTGCGGTCCCTGCCCCAGCAGCATCAGCGTCACCTGGGAACTTGTCAGAAATGCAGGTGCTCGGGGCCCAGCCACCGTGTCCTCATAGCCCTCCAGGTGATTCTGACGCAGCGGTGCGGTTTGAGACTCACTGCTCCAGAGCATGCAGCTGAGAACAGCTGCCCATCCTTGGCTCCCACAAAGCCCGGGGGACCCCAGAGCAGAATTCCTTAAGGAATCCATGGCCACCGGTCCAGGAGGAGCCACTTCAGCTCGGGTGCCCCAGAGGCATCAATTTCACTGGTGATACTGACAACTGTCCCACTAAACAAAAAATTCTGCCCTCCCCACGCCGGAGGCCAGCTCCAGGCAGAGCTCCACACTCCTGGACAGAATCCGAGGCATGGCACAGGCTGACCATCGACCTCCCAGCAGGGCTTTGCCTGGTTTCCTGGGAGACAGAGGCCTGAGGGGAAGGCTCACCCCAAAATGGAAGTGAGAAGGGCCAGCCAGAAGGGCCCAGTGATCCCTCAAGGTCAAGAGCTCAAGGGGACCTGGGCTTGGACCCATTCCCCACCCGGGACTTACAGATATTCCCTCCACCTTCAGAGAGGAGGATGTTGGCTGGCTTCACGGACCTTCTGCCACAAGACAGACCAAAAACCCTTGACCTTTTCTTCCAGAGACAGCGAGATCAACTGCTTATGGCCCCCAAGCCTGGAAGGGGCAGTCCTCACGGATTTTGGGTGCCAGGTGGGAGATGAGGCCTAAGGACCCTCCTGAGAGAGGGGTGTGTGGGTGACTCAGTCGGTGGGCATCGGACTCTTGATATTGGCTCAGGTCGTGATCTCGCGGTTGTGAGATGGGGCCCCGCGTCCAACTCCACGCTGATGGCACAGAGCCTGCTGGGGATTCTCTCTCTCTCTCTCTCTCTGCTCCTCCCCCACTTGTGCATGCACACACACATGCGCATGTACACGCTCTCTCTCAAAATAAATAAATAAACAGAGCCTTCCAAGAGGTAGAGCCCATGCAGGAGCCCAGGGCCCAAAGGCAGGGAAGAGACAGTTGGACAAGCACTCGGGCGGCCAGCCATGGGTCCCCCTGTCACAAGAGCATCGAGATGGAGCCTGTGAGGAAGTTGGGACAGTGGGTGACAGACAGGGATAGGAGTCTGCCGTGAGCGGCAAATTCTGAGTCAAGGTGGATGATGGATATTGTGTAATTACATATGATACTAAAATTATCATATAATTATTATATAATGATCATATTATAATGATGGACATCCTGAGTTCAATTCCAGAGTCTGTCCCCAGTTTGCTGTGTGGCCCTGGGCAAGTCCCTTTCCCTCTCTGATCCATAGTTTTCCCATCCACACAAGGAGGAAGTGGACTAGACACTTGCTAAGGACTGGCAATCCAAGAGTCCTTCATGCCAATTCCATCATTGACACTCCTGAGAGCTCAAGCTGTTTCTTGCATCCTGGAACAACAGTTGCATATCAGCCCCACATTCAGCTTCCTCAGGACCTTTGCACATGCAGTTTTCTGTGCCTGGAAGCCCTACCTCCGTCCTCAAACGATACTAACGATACCAGGCTTGTTGTTTTGCATTCACATTGCTCCTTGTATGTCTTGTAAGACCTAATGCCGTTTGTAACTTGATATTTACTTTGTGGCTTTTGGCTCCTGTCTCTCTCTTCCACAGGACCGTGAGCTTGTAAGTCCAGGGCCTCTGTCCTTTTCATTGCGATTCTAGCATTCCACATGGCACCTGACCTATAGTAGACATTCATTAAATATCTGTTAAATGAATGAATGAATGAATGAATGAATGGTGGCTATTATCATTAGTATTGGGAGCCAAGAAGCTCTCTAAAAAGGTTGCAGAACCCAGTTCTGACCACCCCAGAAAGGGAAAAGCCAATGGCATGGGCGACTGGCCTCCGTGACCTTCAGTTCTGAGGGGCTGACCTCTCTTTGCATCTGCCCCCTGCAGGGGAAAGTCTCCTGTCTCAAGGAAGTGACCCTTATCGAGGAAGGAGGCTGTCTGTGCTCTTACTGCCTTCTTGACCCTGTGAACCAGGACTGAGGCGCTCTGTGACTGCCTGAGGATATGAGCTACTTTGGTGCTGGCGGTCAGAGCCCCAGGGGATCTGTGATAGGCCGGGTCACCTGGACCTTTGCCGCTTTGGGAGTCTGCAGAGAAAAAAGATCCATCCACAGAGGCACACACATGCATGCCTGAAATTCAAATTTGTGAGCATAAACACACATACCCGTGCCTTTGCACGAACACCCACGCTAGAAATACAAGATGCACACATACACATGCACGCCAGCGGTGTGCGCACAGAGCATGTCATGTTCACATACGTGATGTCCCCAAAGTGTGCATACACCAACAGGCACGGAAACATACGTGTGCACATGCCTTTGTTCTCGTACATGCAACAGGAGTGCATGTAATGCATCGACAGACACAAGCGTGTAGGTTTATATAAACGCACCTCATGCACAACGGGACACTGGTCCATTTCTCTGTTCAGGACTTGAATACGGAACCTTGCTCAGGACTCCTCCCAGGAGCACTGGATATTCTCGGAAGGCCTTTCTTTTCTACCACTCCTCTCCTCACCCCAATCACCCCACAGTTCACCAAGCAACCCCCACTTCCCTAACCCTCGATCAGGCACACAAAAGACTGCCTGAACGTGGGGCAGGGGAGAGAGCTTCTGGAAGTCCCCACAGCGCGTCAGTGTCCTCCTTGTTCAGCCAGGTCTCTCCTCCCGGGTTTCCGGAGACATCACCTCCTCTTTCGCTCCGACGGGGCCGGAGCGCCCCCTGGTGGTCGAAACAGCAGCGCGGGTCCCGGCAGCCAGGTTGTGAGCGGCGCTTGTCCCCGTGGCGTGGGGGACACTCACCTGGTCCCTCTCTGCGTGTAATCTTCGCAGCCAGGTCTCGAGGCCCCCGTCGCAGAGCTGGGGGCGCGGCCACTGCTGTTATTCAGTTCTCGCACCTGAGAGACCAAGAAAGAGGCGACCTGGCCGGAAAGAATGACGGCTTAGGAGACAGGCAGAGCCCGCGAGGGTCACCGTGGCCTCTTCCCCGTCCCAGCACCGCACACAGGGTAATACTTATTTGTTGAACTTGGGGCTGCAGCCCTGATTTGGTACTGTGTGCGTGCGT